ATGACCTGGAAGAAGAAGTTGAAAATCAAAGAAAGTCCCCAGGCATACGCGAAAAATCCACCGACATCTTGTGACGCCAGTAAACAGTTAAAATTTAGGTATGCCAGCGAATCTTAAACAATTAATTACAGTCACTGTAAAACAGAAATAGCACGTCACCTCTCGTTTTCAGTGGGGCACATTTCTACGTAAAAATTAACCCCTCGCCAACCACCCTGTCCCCACAACAACCCTCATGTCAAAAAATTAAATAGAAATAATAATTAAGTGACACCTTATTTGAAAGGTCTATCTGTAGGTATCCAACCTTGTAACATTTTTTATTTGCTACTCAGTTGTAAACGTTGATTAACAAGACAAAACGCAAACGGGTAAACGTCATGTTTAAACGCTACTGACTTGTAAAACTGACAGCAGACTTGTAAAACTGACAGCAGACCTGTAAAAATTTTACAAGTTAGTAATCTAGTAATTTAATTGGCCAGAATTAATGCGAAGTCTCTGTTACATGGATAACATGATATTTTAGACATTTCTTCAAGATTAATTTAAGAACTAATTATTTACGTTTACTATTGTTTTCAAATGAGTAACAAATAAAATATTGTACATTATACGCCAGGTAATAGTTTTTACTGGCTCTAGGAGATGACAAGCTCGCCTAACGGCTCGCTAGTCAATTTCTCCTATCGCCAGTAAAAACTCACTTACCTGGCTAATAATGTAAAATACTATTACATTACGCCGATAAGCAATGTGAGCAGAAAATAAATACTCCCTTCGGTTTTTATTATTAAATTTAACGGTTTCAAATGGCTCGTTTTAACTGGAACCTTCTTACAACTAATTTCAAGGTACTGAATGGAAGCCCTATAATTACGACACTGTGACTGAGAGTCTCTCGAAGCGTGTTGGGGTAAAATTGTCGCTTCAAGCATTTGGAATTAATGACACGCGAACGCGAATTCACTACCATCGCTAATTTTTAACATGTTACGGTCTAAATTGGTCAACGTTCTGCAAATAAATCCAGTTGGAAGCAGAATATGTTATGGATAACTATTACTCTTGAGCTCATGACACTTTTCAAGGTGTTTCCACGAATAGAGGGGTAGAAGAGAACGAACGGTAGCACGAGTTATTTGCCTTGCAAATGTCATACACCCCATGTCGACATATTTAATGATGCATGGTTGGGATGCCGGGAATCCTTTTTCAAAATCCATTTTCACAACTGACATCTGTGATAATAACACGGAATCGTCAAAACGACAGTATTTATGGAGCATTAAAAACGACGAGACGGTCTACGTACCGTTTTACAGAATTGGGGCTCATTTGAGTTGAAGGGTGGGATTTAATTAAACGGTCTCATCCAATGTCATACGTAATTACCACCTAATGTACCCAACATAAAAAGGAAAAAATTACAAGGTCTTCGTATTTGAATGTGTTGAATGTTTTAAAAGTGTTATATTAGGAAGGAACCCACACGCTAAGCTCTATATATAGAAAATTAATAAAAAAATAAGTATTTTACAAGCAGTTTGCTGTGAATATTTTACGCACTCCATGTCGTCGCTTTAATGAGAAAGAGGCCCAGTCGGCATTGATTCTCCATTTTTTTTTTTTTTATATTAACGAAACCAAGCCAAGGGAATAAAATGAAATCAGTGTGGAAAGCGCTTTTCTAAAACATGCTGTGCGTGCTGCAGTTTCCGACCGCAAGCTAAAGTTGTAATGTAAGTTAAGTTGTGTCGCACTTTTCGAGCCCAGTCCACAATACAGTTGCGTTCTTTGCACTAATTTAGATTTAGCGCCTAAAGCTGGCAACTACTATAATACATCGCTGAAAAAAGGAAATGATCCGAATTTTTCTTTTTGGCGCTATTGTGGCCACGTTGTCCGTTCGTCCGTCCGCCCCTACGGCTGTGTCGCTACGAAATTGCTCTACTTTGTTCGCTATTTGGTTCGTTATGTTGTCGAGGATTGCACCAAGGAAGGAATTTTTTCAGTGTTTATTACTAAAAAGGTTATAGTAAATATTTTGTTTTATTTCACTTAATTATGGTTCGTTATGGAGTGGATAATAAAATTTTGTTCACTCCTCACACTTTTCAAGTTTTGTGCCTATTGTGGGTATGTATCAATCCTATACGCTTCTTGCATTTTGCTTCTATATTACGGAAAACTAAAACATGAACTTCAGCTTTAGTGATCATTTTGAAACAGAGACACACAAAATTTTTGATCTAACCTCAATTTTATTTAGGAAACGGCCAAAAATGTATTGATAGAGAAAATAAAATTAACTGCTGGCAGCCATACTTATTACTTTATTTTATAGCAGATGTTAAATTGACATTTCAATAAGTTTGAATGAGTAGGATAAGTCGCTCTTTAACCGTAAGGGGGGATAAAGTGAAGCAGATGATTGTGCATTCTAATAATATCTTATTTCAAATAGGACACAGAGCACGATATAAAATGACGTTCAGAACATGTGGCACTGCCGTTTCTATCGAAACGACTGTCGCGACTTGCTATTTTTGAGATCTAAACTAAATTCAGAATTGTCACAAGCTTTACAATGATTTCCATGGTCCAATTGTCTGTTTGTCTGTACATATATAGAAATCGAGAAAACCGAGATTTTACGTTTTATAGTCTGAAGTTTGCCATAACAGTGAACACGACTTTGACTGATGGGCGGTACAACGTTCGCCGGGTCTGCTAGTTTATTATACTGGGTGGTTTTAATCGACTTGTATCTCTTTCGGTTTAGGAGATGAAAATGCAAAAAAAAAACTCAACACGTATGCACGTGTTAAAAAGAAATGGGTTGCGCAGACTTAACTTTTTTTAATTAATGGACAAATGTTTCTTTTATTAGAAGAAGGCACTTCGTATAAAATCAAATTGAAATGTGTTAAAAAAATTGTTTGAGCATGCGAAGCACATAGCTTTCTTACTTGTAGGCCCTGAAAATGTTTTTTATAGAAGAATCGGGTATGAAGAAATAGATTGCGCATGCGCAAATAACCTTCTTTTTTACTTTTTGACCACTGTTTCTAAAACTTAATTGAAGATGAATTGAAAACACATTTAAAAAAATGGATTGCAGATGCCAACCTTTTTAGTTACAGGCAGATTTTTCCAAAATTTTAATAGAAGGTGCATTTAAAATAACGGATTTGTCTAGGGTGATTAATTTTTTCGGAAAAAAACTACTATCAATGTGGAAATGCGCTTTTTGAAAATCATTTACGATGATTTTTGTAACTTATTTAATATACGAAGTGGAAATGTTGTCTGGAACTCTGAAGATATCTTCAAAACTACAAAGTATCTACACTTATAAAAAGTTTGCTACCAATCTACATACTTTAAATTTGTGGTCAGTGGCGTACTTCTTCATGGTTAAGAGGGGCATTTTTTTGAAATGGAAACCAATAGTTTTCATTACATATTATTAAAAAGTGCACTTTTCCAATAATTACGAATAACTGTATACCAAAATTACATAAGCCCTAGATTTTAATATTCTTTAACAAACTATGAGAAACCACATAGTTTAAAAAAAAAAGCTAAAAGAAAATGTACAGGGTGAATATTTTATCTGGATCACTGGATATATCTTCAAAACAACATTTCTTTTAAAAGCTTCCTATACAGGGGTCCTAGGCAACTCAACTTTCGTGACCCCTCTTTCTTTCACTGCGCCCTTTTTAAAAGACACAATGCAATTGATACAGGGTCGCTATTAAAGATGGGCCCAAAGCTCTTAGGCTCAAACTTTTTGAGATATAAACATTAGAATACTTCCATTTGATATTATTTCAGATATTTTGATGTAAAAAAATATTTGTAGTTATATGATTTTTGAGTGCGACCGCCATCTTGAATTTGTTTCAATGGCAACCTTGGTCATGTACGATACGTCATTAGAAAGCTTATTTTTTTCTCTTTCTTACTACCTTAATCATGTGTGGTATTAATTTAGAAAAAAATTGCAGAAAAATAAGAAAAACCTCGTTATACGCTTGGCTGGATAATGTATTGCAAATTAAATTTAGATACGTTTAAATTAACAGAACGTCAAAAACATACTTAAGTGTGAGGTGCAGCGAATAAATAGTTTACATTTTATAAGATTCTATAATTTTTTTTAAATTTTCAAATAAAATTTTTTGAATATAGCTGATTAAAAAACATATTATATTACATAATTAAACTTAAGAGAGAAACTGAAATTATGGAAAATAATTGTGTAGTGTAGTGTTAATTAATTTTATAATTTTACTAGTTTGTTTGTGTTTTTTATGTTGTCATAATAACAAAAAGTTCATTCTTTAATATACAAATTGTCACCGTTCGCTACTGTATAAATAATTTTGATTGTTTGAAGTATGTACATAGATTGTGATATTTGGCTCATCAACTAACAAAAAAACCCTTCCAACAAAAACATTAGGTTCTTCCACCATTGTTGATGTCCCCGCGTAGAGAAGTAGTTTTCTTTATGTTAAATATGAAAATGTCCTTTTTTGTATTTTTTGTACTCCGTGGACTAAACGATCATATCTATACCTACCGTCGTTTTGAACGAGAATCTTTAACATAAACGGACATTTACTATTTATACGGTCATAATTTGACATGACGAGGTATATATAGATTTTACATTCAAACATATTTTCTTATTTCAAATTTGAACTTTATCATTGAAATTGCTGTATCTGATTATCAGAATACAAAAAATAGCGTATATACCACAGGACTAAAGTGCGTCCTAACCCTTCAGGTGCAAACTGCACCCTCAGGATTAAAACACATACTTTAGTCCCTATATTATACTATTATTAGCCACCTAATTAAGTGTAGTTTACGCCCTCTTCTGTAGCAGAGGGCCTTACGTCAAAACTTATTTGTCAATGATATAGCGCCATGTTCTGTTACCAATTACGATCCATAATATTAACATCTAATTTTCATTTCAGATTGCGTTTCAAGCACCTTACATGAAAAGAAACTAAATAGTCCTTTATGCAAGCCAACAAAATGACCTCGCGATCAAAGGAAAAGGTGACGTCAATGTTCCGACGGATATTTGGTTCATCAAACAAAGATGGGGAGGGACCAAGCAAAGCGAGCGGCTCGGCAAGTGGATCTCCAGCCCGACGACTTCTGAGGGGATGCCGCGACACCGTTTCTCCGGCGGCCGGACCGGTTGGAAGTCCAGGTTTCGCATCCAGAAAGAACAGCAAGAAAACCTCCGAAACACCTCCTTCCAGTAAAAATGTTCGCAGCAGACGACTTATGAAAGAGTTCAAGGATCTTCAGCGATTGCAAAACTCACGTTCCGACCCCGTCTTCACAGTGGAATTAGTTGAGGATAACTTGTACGAATGGCACGTGAAGTTACACACAATCGATCCCGAAAGTGACTTAGGGGGCGACATGAAAGAATTCGGTGTTACATATATATTGCTACATTTAATTTTTCCGGAAAATTTTCCTTTTGCTCCTCCGTTTATGCGAGTGATTTCCCCGCGAATAGAGAAAGGGTTCGTTATGGAAGGTGGCGCGATTTGTATGGAACTTTTGACTCCTAGAGGGTGGGCGAGCGCTTACACCGTCGAGGCGGTCATAATGCAGTTTGCCGCAAGTGTGGTCAAAGGACAAGGGCGTGTGCAAAGAAAAACAAAAGGCCAAAAGGTATTTAACAGACGAACGGCCGAAGAAAGCTTTCGGTCCCTAGTAAAGACTCACGAAAAGTACGGGTGGGTTACACCATCCTTGGCGGATGGTTGAGCGCTCCAATTCTAGAAAAAAACTTTATTCATGTTACGATTGTTTGTATATTCAAAGATATTTATTACCATACGTTTTTTAGCAAAAGGCTTTGATCTATGTGCACGATCTGAGTCTTTTAATTAAAAACTCGTTAAATGTTATTGAATGTTTAGATGGTGGGAATGTTAAATGTTGTTTCAATGGTGTACACAATAATTTTTGATATTAATGTTGCCAATTAATTAAGACTCTTGGTGGCAAAGGCGTTCTGCAAAACAGGGTGAACAAGTCAGATTTTTTTTATACTCGGTAATGATCATATTCTTTCTTGTCTTCCTGAATAATATTCCGTCCTTTGGTGCTCAATTAGAGAGTAGTAATTTTAACCATAACTACTAGACGATGACAATTTCTATTACTGCTCTGCACAAAGACGTTTAGCTCAAGGAACACATTTGCCATCAAGACTTGATATTTTCAAATCGCCGCGGACTATATGAAAGTATCCCCTTAGTGACCACAAGTTATTTCTTTTATATCCCTTTAGTTAAGAGTTTTGTGATAAATCATAAAAGCGCAGTCTTTGGCGGCTTATTTAGTATACGTAGACGTAGCTAGAAAAATTAAAAAATTTCCGATGCCGTTCAAAAGATAATAATGAAAAATTAAGCGTTGTTTGGAGCTTATTCAATCAAATCAGTGATTAAATGCTGAGAGTTTATACAATGTGTTCGTTTATTAAGTGACTCACGAGTAAATATAGAATTTTATATGACAATTTAGTATTATAATTTTAGGAATGATTTTAATGTAAACTATCGTAAATAAGACTGTTATTTGTAAGTAAACACGTTTTGTTCATTTCTGTTTGTTGTGGTGCGTTTGGTTTCTTTAACACAACCTAAGCGTCACACCACATAGAAAACGATGTCGATTCACAGGTGACACTTTTTTTAAGTTTAGCAATTAGGCAGGTCGTTTAGAGGCGCATGTTCTTAATTACATTTACGTATTTTGTCTTCCATTGTTGATTTAAGTTGGATTTTAATGACAGTTGTGTACATATACTTATAATTCATTAGTCAAAATATTCTTGTGAATAATAAATGTGTTACGTTACGCGGATTCTTCTTAATTTACTCATAACTTGCCTTGCAGCTTGTTGACATGTAACTAGTTTAGACTAATGTCTACGAAAAGTCACAATAAATTCGGTGTACTTCTATGGGGCGCCGTTTGTGTCATAATTATGCACCCGTTAAATATATTTTTTTTTCATTAAAATATTAATTGGTCGATATATATATACACAGGGTGTTCATTTGAAAACCACTGATTAAAGGAAACAACGCCGAGACACGTCAAAAGATTTGTCATGGGGGACAAATATTTAACCAAAAACTACTTCACTACCTTTCACCTTCTGTCACCTAGAGTCATTGCCTTAAAAATTTTAAATAACAAGGTATCGAGTAATAACTTAGTTTGAAAGGTCTTTCAAAGTCCTTAAATTTGACGTTTGATTTTTTAAAATCGATCGATTTTTCGAGAAAATTAGAAAAATCTCAATTTATTTGTTTATTTGCAACAGATCCAGTTAAAGTAAATTTTGTAACAAGGTCCAAAACGTACCTATGCCCGGATGTATATCGCCAAATAAAAGAGATCGAGGTGACCCTCTATTTTGAACTGTATAATATGTGTTCTCTGTAACCTGCAGGTTTCCATATGGGTGTCTCACTTGCTCTCGCACGGACACGTTTTTAGCTCGGGTAGAATGGTTAGTGAGAATTGTTTTCTGGAGTGGTTTACCACGGCCACAGACGACAGCCAGAAGTGACATTTAATGTTCAATAGATGTAGAGGATTTACTTTGCGATATTTCATGGCTTTATTGAAATATCAACCTAAAATGGTTATACTGATGGTGATGGTCTGATTGGTCTCTTATACCTATATATTAACAAGTGAATGTATAGTATAGGAAGACATTTACATGAAACATGTCTAGAATTTTTTGAGGAATCCGGAAATGCAATAATATACGGGTACCTATACATATTTCCATTTAAGGAAAAACTATTCTTTCTGCTACACTTTTTTGGGGCACCATGTAAATATACATTTTGTGCCAAAATATGCGCAATCCAAAAACAAAATCGACGTATCCGAGAGCGCTCTTTTGCGAACACCCCTCCATTTCATTCTTATTGAATTTATCCGGTCTTTAATCACAAAACCTTGATTTTCAGATTGAAATTTTTTAAATACGAGGGACTACAGAGAGTAACTGCGATGACGTTGAGCACGCGACTTTTTTAAGTTATTCGTAGGTTTAAAGATTGTTTTTTTTTACTTTTTTTGAAATGTAAACCCACACAACAATTCTTAATGAAGCTAGACGGCTCATGGAAGGTATGAAGGAGTCCCCTCAACGTATTTTGAAATGTATGCCATAATGGTGTAGTATCAAGGAAAACTCTGGGCTTCTAAGTTTCTAAAACTGAATAAAAGGTAGATTAGGAACATCACCGGTGTGCTCACTGTGCACTGGCCGGTCAACTATCACCTTTCACAATATTGGACTTGTAGGAGAGCCCACATGCAGGTTCTGTGGCGATGGCGAGGTAGAGGAAACAACCGAGCATGTGGTCTGGCACTGTGATCCTTGATCAGAGACAGTTGGCAACAGTTATCTGGATACGCGCGGGGAGGGTAAATTACTTAGGCTAAACAGGGACCTATCATTTATTGAGAGGAACGGGGTCTGAACCAGGTTGCGCGAAGGGAAGGGGGTAGGCACAATGAGCCTTTGGTGTGCCTAAGTGCTACCTGGTCGGGCTCCCCTTATGAATAGAATAGAAAATTGTGTTCAAGCTAATTCAAATCATTCAAAGGCTTCGAGTTCTTTAGAAATGGGCCTTGCAGGTAGGATAGGTTATATTTTCAGGTCTCAAAAACGGCATCATACACCGAATTGGTAGAATTTGTAAACTACACCAACGCCTCTAGTTAGACCTGAATCGCAAAAGGTCGACCCTCTAGGGTGCCCACGGGCCCTGCGGGCCATTTACTCCCGCAACCCCCCAGCATTGGCGGTCCTGTATTTATTCGCCCTTTTAGAAAAATGCCAGTAAAATGCAGTATGGTGCTTATGGACATACACTACATGCTTGAAAAACTTATTAACAAACGTGTCAATCAGGGCCGGATTTACAGCTTGCCGGCCGCCGGGCCTCCAAGCGCGAGGTAGGGATGGGGCCCCTGTCTATACTAAACCATTTTACAACCTTCTCTACGCGACTTCTTCGGTTGGAGGCCCATTACATTTCACTAGCAAGCAAGCATGTGCTTGTTCTGCTTGTAGGTAAATGGGCCTCCAACCGAAGAAGGTCGCGTAGGCGCGGTGACGCGGTCAGCGGCAGTCAGCGGACAGTAGCGGCAAAGTTTTTCAGGCAGCAAATCCGCTGAAAGGCTACGCTAAAAATCAGCTTTCTGTTAGCAGTTATGCGCAAGTTACTCAGAGGAAATTTCTTATGCCTACTTATGATTTGTCGCTGTTGTCCGCTGATTGCCTCTGACCGCGCCCCAATGACAGCACAAGGGCATTACTTATGTTGTGTTTGATGAGGAACAAGGATAGCTTTAATGCTGAATAAATGACCCAAATTAGTAAGAGAGTCATTTAGTCAAAGAGTACCCCTAATAAGTGATACAGCGCAATGGTATAAACGCGCGTTGGCTATAAGAACTCGCCCGCTAGGATTCCAAAAGCGGGCCCTCGCGTAGAGGTGGCCAGAACTAACCGCCTCTTTAAATATTGCCGCGTATTGAAAATTTACAGAATTCTTTATAGAATTTCGGTTTAAAATATTTGAGCGGTTGTCACATTTAATTTTCTTTCTTATTGGCTGTATCAAAATGTGGACATGATATAATTAGAAAACATTACTTAAGTATAAAAGAAATCAGCAACGATTCAGTACCTATTGTTAATTACATTGGTATTTTCCTGTTTAGTTGGCGTCTATTGAATAGACAGTAATTACTATTTAATTTAATAACCAATAACAGGTACAATTGTAAAAATGTAAATTAAATTTGCTATTATCCATCCTTTTTAGATCGTCTACTACAGTCAAATTAAAGTAGACAACATATTCATAAAATTGGATTTTATGATGAGCATAGCGATTATTTTACAGGAAATTTGGTTTGCTTTAATTTTGTATAGATGCCTAGGTACATACGCTGAGTTGTTTAATCATTAACAATCAATCATTACAATGCAATAATCCTTGTCCTCAGAAAAAAGAAACATCAGTCTAATCCAATAATCAGTCAAAATATATAGTGCAGTTAAATAATAAATTAATAATTCTGCACCCGTCGAATAAATTTAATTAAATATTTACACGTTATTCTCATTTAAACAATTCAATTAAAAAAATACTCTCGACCCGCATTTATGCTGCAGCACTAGCGCGCATCGGTCTCCTAGCAACTAAGCGTCGTACACATGTTTTTCAATCACCATTGGATAGTAGCGGAAAAACACATAAGTATATGTATTTAAATTTGCCGCTCAACTTGAGCCACCGCGCACTCTGCTAGTGATTCATCCATCTAAACAATTGATAATGCAGTGTATGTTCTCATTTTTGAAAACAACATTGGCTTCCACTCTAAATATAGGGTTTCTGGAGCGTTTAAATATCTCCGGAATGCGTGGGTCGATCGGACTGAAATGTAATGAGATTAAAGGGGACATTAATAAATTGTGCCATAAGCGTAGAATGGAATAACATATCTCTAAACATCATACATTTCAAGGAATAATAGATACCTAAATAAGTACAAGCAAACACTAAACATTTGGTAACGCTGGGATTTCTGCAATGATATTTATAAACTTCTAAACAAGTAGTTGCCTTGAAATAGCCCCTTAGGCGTAGCGTACGCCAATAAAATTGAGAAAAAGCAGTAAAATTTGTTAGGCAACACACAATACAAATGCAACACAATTCTCTATGCCGTTGAATCTCTTATTATGGTTACTCTTTGATTTAGTCCATTAAGATCTGCATATGGTGGTGTGAACTATAGACAATAGACATATGAAAATAACGCGAAAATAGGTACTGTATAGTAGTCGAAAAATTGGTTAAGTAAACTGCTAAAGCGAAGACGCGGCAACGTAGCGTAAATACTAAATAGTAGTAAATGAACATACCGGCAAATACCTATTCTTTTGTATTTAATTTTCCACGAATTTTGCAAGAAAACTCACTCCACAAAGCAAGCTCTAGTGCAACTTTTAGATTAAATTATAAACAAACTAATTTATTAGAAAAATGCTTATCAAAGTGAAGGTTAGTCATAGCGGTATTTTTAGGTTAATTCCAAATACATCCCTTTACTTTTGCAGACTTTAACTGGTAAAGAAATCGAAATAGATATCGAACCCACAGATAAGGTAGAACGAATAAAGGAACGGGTAGAAGAAAAGGAAGGCATTCCACCTCAACAGCAACGACTTATATTTTCTGGGAAACAAATGTACGTTGACTGTGGTTGCGATTGTATATCGCATGAAGCTCGATGACACTTATAATTTGTATTCTTGTAGGAACGATGAGAAGACTGCGCAAGATTATAAAGTACAAGGTGGCTCTGTACTTCATTTAGTGTTAGCCTTACGAGGAGGATATTGATAATAAACAATACTGTTACATACTATAACGTCTAATATACCGTAATGATTGTTAATTGTTTGCTTCACTTCGGCAACAGTACAACTGAGGCTAGGGTTTTAAAGCTTGCATACAATGTTGTGGTTTATTTGCATCTATTCAAAATCTGATAATGTAACTTGTAAGTTAGTAATGTAACTCTTTCACTTAAAAACTGTTTTATATATGGATTCCTTTCATTTACCTTTTGTTGTTACAACATTCCAGTCCAGTGTTAAATTGCAGCCGAGTTTTGTGCTTTTTGTGAGGTGGTAGATGCAAGTTAAATGGCAAATGTGAACTTTTCCAGTAAATCGGCAATCCTAGATTTACTTGAAATATTAAATTTGGATAATCCTGTTGGTAAGATTTAGCAATTCCAGAAGTTTTAAATTTGTTATTTTGTAACCTATTCTGGTTAATTGACAAGTGTCTGTGGCGACATCTAGTATGTAATCATGAGTAGGATGTTTCGCTTCATGGAAATCTGTAGTTGTAATTCACTGCAAGCGGAAAAAATATCAATTCATCTTGAATGGGAAGGTCAACAATAGATGGAGCATAGTGTGCACATGATTTTGTTTGTTGGTTATATACAGGGTGGTGGAACAATATGGGCGTAGTTGAAAGAATAGGATAATGTGAGTAATGAGACTTGCACCCTATATTTTTCGTAAATAGAAAATTTAAAATTTATAGGTATCGCATGTAATCATTGTACGCGGAATGTTGGTAGAAAATGTACTTCTTCCCATATACAGAGTGGCCCAACGAGAAGTATAGAGAGGGCTTTTAGGGTATTAAATTTAGAAATTCGAAAAATCCCCGAACACGTCAATTTTGTATTCGAGGGGGATAACTTTTGGAATACAAATCACGAACCCCTCTACGTAGGGAGCTTAACCCCTAAAATTTTAAATGGAATCCTATGGCAAATGGCACATTATTTGAAAGCCAATTTAATCGTGATTACTAATCTGCTTTGCTTTTTAAATTCTATTGATTCGTTTCGGAGATTATTCGCATTTGAAATGGTTTTTTCTAAACCAAAACAAATGCGATCTAAGTCACCTTGTATTAAAATTTTATTTTGACGCTTAATTTGTTGGTTAAACTTAAGTGAACCTGTCAGTTCTCCGAAACGAATCAATAGTTTAAAAAGCAAAGCAGATTAGTAATCACGATTAAATTGGCTTTCAAATAATGTGCCATTTGCCATAGGATTCCATTTAAAATTTTAGTTAAGCTCCCTACGTAGAGGGGTGAAGACTTGGGTTCGTGATTTGTATTCCAAAAGTTGTGTCCCCCCTCGAATACAAAATTGACGTATCCGAGGATTTGTCGAAATTTCTAAATTTAATACCCTAAAAGCCCTCTGTATACTTCTCGTTGGGCCACTCTGACCACTATACATGTCGCTATCCGCTTTCTTATGCTTTTTTTCTGATACTAGAAAAAAAGGCACGCATATAGGGCTTTCATTTCAAAACGAACCACCGCTAGTGATTTTGACAAAAAGTCAAACTGCAAATTTCTGTACGTTCTAGCTAGAAAAAAAAACTAAACGGCCTAATCGATAAAACTAACCATATTTCACGTGGTCCATCAAAAATATAGAGATTACTCGGGGATGTAAGGGATGAATAAATTAGGGAGTGGCGTTCTAGCTACTACTAAAAACGTTCATTGACACATTTTCAAATCTATCTCAGGGTAGGTATGGGTTTCTGGATATGATATAAACTATCATATTTTTAGCGCATTTTTTAAGAATTAGAAAAAATGTGCTATTGTTTGCGTTTTGTCCGCCCGTCCGGACCCACTTCTGCCGTTTGGAACTACTTCTAGGGGAATGGTCCTAGCTCGGGTCCTAGAGTGCTGGAATCCATCAAATTTCGCTGTCTAAAAGGGACCCACGAATTATTTCCTGATATGCTGTTTTTGAAAGTAAAACGTGCATAACTTTTACATACGACAACCAATTGGTCTTAGATTTTGTATACGCATGCCTTTAGTGGTGTCAAGTTAAGCTTTAGAAAAAGGGGGGGATAAACACATGTTCTACCCTTCATGGTATTCTAATGAAAAGTTTCATCTAAATAAATTGGTTTGTACAAACTATTAACTTTCCCATACTCTTTTTCGAGATCAGTGAGCGACGGGGTCTGGGGGGGGGGGGGGTTAAATTAATTTTGTCTCATTGTATTCTAATTAAAGGTCTCAATGAAAGCAACTAGTTTTATCCTTCATGGTACTCTAATGAAAGGTCACAAAGGGCGATTGAAACGTCTGCAAAACAAAAACTATTTCGGTTAAAAACATGCGCTTTATCTGCACAAGAGTTGTGCACAATGTATACCTACTTGCCATAAAACTGCATTAGTATTTGGTTTTGGCTGGAGCGCAGCTAGCTAAATTTTTCAGTAGTTGCTTCATAGATAGGATACATCATATGGGAAAATTTCTGATAATTTTCAATAGTTTGAATTGTAAAAACGTACGTGTCTATCATCAAGAGAAATGTAATAATAATTTTTGTTTTGTTTTCGTTAGCGACTTTACAGGAATTTGAACACATGCGAAATTAGATCATTCACTAGTAAGCGAGAGACACTTTGTGACCCAAATGAGTATAACTTTTGTTTGAAAACTGAATTTAAAAAAATGTTCGATAATTTTGTTCCTTAACTCATCAAGTACGTACACAACGAATTTCGTGGAATTTTTTTTTTCGAATTTTCAAAAACTAATGTTGGTTTCGTGATTTTCATGTCCCAAACCCCCCAAATACTAAACTTCATCGAAATTAGAATTTTTTTGTGCGCCCATTCGTGGTAAGAATTTTGAAAAATTTTTTGCAAAATCGGAAAGGGAATACCAGACGTGCCACCAGTCTTGCTAACTTCTATATGGTTGCTGAGAAAAAAATTAAAGGAGAAATGCAAATTTCACCGCTTTTTGGGGGTGACTCCCAGACAAAACACGTTGGACCCTCGGCTTATTTGGAAAAAGTGCTTGTTTTGATCACCAAATTTTAAGAGCAACAATGTCAAACGCATTTTTCTCTCACGAAGCGTAACGTGTCCACTACCGGACAAGAGAGGGGAACTGAAAAATACTTATCAATCAATTCCAGTTCCGGTTCCAACTCTTGACCAATATATACTAGTTTGTAAACGTTCTTGAAAGTATCATCGGGAAGATTTGGCCGTTAAAACCTTTAAAACTCATTGCGTTCACAGCCAATAAAATTGCAGCTTCCGAATTTTTGTAGGGTTGCACGTTTCTTTTTTTAGAGTTAAATATTATGAGAGGATATGTAATTGGAATTTTTAATGGCGTGGTAAAATGAAGTCACCATGAGTATATTACCGCTTAGTCATATCCGTTCGTTGATAAGCGCAGTTTGAATTTTGTCAATTTAAGAGAGCGAAATTTTTTTAAAATTAATACGGGTTGCCGTGATAGTGCCCAGGTCGAAGTATGCGAGAACGGAAATTACTTAATTCGTATTGAACCTTAAAAGTGCCAATTGAAAATAAAGATCGGGACTTTTGGTTCAGGGGGTAGGGTAATACGGCTAACAACCGGGCCCTTATCAAATTAAACAAAAGCAATAATTTCGCATGTGTATCTAATAATAAATTTAATTTAAATCAATCATGGCGTAATCAGTCTTTCTGATAAACAGAATAATTACGCAAACTCCATCCATCCGTTTATTTTGAATCACATTTTCCTTTCCAGACTGTAAGGAGCTGTTAAAGGTTTGTGAACGCAACCTACAAGCCTTTGAAGAGCGAAAATCATCACATGGAAATGCCATTGCTATCGCAGATGCCACGAAAATTAACGCGAGCGACTCGTCTCCTCTGTGGGAATATACACAGGTTAGTCTGTCACTCTGCTACGATTTAGGAAACGTACTAGACAGTAGTGACCTGTTAAACCCTTTGAGTGTCCAAGAAGTCAAAAATGTGAAGAACATTTTTCGTAACCTGATCGGAATAGGAATTTCGTCGAATTTACTACCGAACTTATCTCATCACTCAAAATTGCCTTACGACGAGTCCATTTGCGTTTTTACGCGATATAAAAGGCTCAACGCTACAACACACGGAATTATTGTTCTTTCAAAATTTCATTCCTTAAAACCGATTCTCTTCCCTTTTTATCTGAAATGGGTCCTATCGGCGCTGTATCAAATAATTTTTTGTCCAATAAAGCGACCGTCTGACACAGCCGACGAGAATGGGTTTATTATGACGCAAGATATTTATGACACCTTAGTAAGTAATCGGGAGGTATTTCGAGGAATGCTAGAGTACCTCGGTCAATCTGTCCACGCAGTGTCCTACATTAGAGAGACCATGATGTTAATTGGTCACAAACAGTCGCCGCTTTGGCTGAAGCGAGCTGTTTCGTCAACGTTGACCGCGTTGGTTTGCAAACCGAAAGGCGTCGAACGCGTAGCCTGGGCAATGCTGGATACTGTTGGAGTTGATGACGGTGACGATAGCACGAAATCGTGGAAAGTGCTAGAGGCTGTGGGCAAAATAGTGTTAGAAACAACGAAGCGTTCTGATTTTCGGGTGAATATCAGCGAACAAGTGTGTGGTTTGCTTGATTTAAAGGGCAGTTCTGGCGGATTTGTTAGACCTTTTGAGCGCTTGTTTACGCTGTGCACTTCCTCACTGTTCCATCAAAATGAACAGTTGTGCCAAGAAACTTTTATTAAACATTTGCTGTGCCCACTCACTAACCTCACTACCCCAACGTCAGATAATTTATTGCCCATTTTATCACAGAGAGTGCGCATTTTGCAATCGCTTCTCACTGACGAGAATTTTACCATACCCCTCGTAGCCAGGCGGATCTTACACTCAGTGATTCACGTCATATTTCGATTATACAGCGTAACGTGCACATCCTCCGACTTAAAATCGCTCAATGACGATATCAAGAGCGTCATGTTGCGATTTATTCGCGACTTGAACGCCGGTGAGCAGTTCGTCTTGTTCGATTTACTTTTATTCGATTTCGCCAGTGAGGGATATTCGAAATTTCGCGATGATCTGGAGCTGGAGGTGCAAGAAGATTATCTTCGAATTAGGTCAAGCGAATTTGCAGTGAAATTTCGAACCTCTCACAAAGCCGAAGCACTCATCTCTATAATCAAAGGAAACAATCGCGAGACCACGCATCTGTTCGCTTATTTCCTGAACTGTTTGAGTTCACCCGATAAGTACTTCGACACTAGTTCGGTTAACACTGATTTGTTGCACTTGGAATCGGAAGCCACCGTAAATGAAGTGTCTGATAGAAAAATTACTGTCTACAAGTTTCTGTCGAGTTTAGCTGAGGATTCTGATGTACAAGAGTACGTCAACAAAGACCCCGCTATTCTAATACAATACATGCGTATGGTATTGCTCAAAAGTATCGAAAAGGGATTGCATAAGAAGCAAAATTGCGAGTCGGACGATTTCCAAACCTTGTTCTTGGTGGTCATGCTGTGTCAGGTGTTGATAGACAATACGGAAGCCGAAACCATATCCCAGTATCGCACCTTAGTGCCTCAGCTTGAAGCAATTGCTAAAAGCAATAATACGGAGTTGGGTGCTTTAGTCCGGGAAGTGTTGACTAAATTAAATGTTGGGCAACCGAAAGCAAATCGCCCAAAGGAAATGACACCGTTGGATAAAGCAATTGAAGACATTTGCGATCCGTTACTCCCAGTCAGAGGGCATGGTTTGATGGAGTTAGCGAGGCTGATTGAAGCGAAAGATGGGTCTACGTTGGAAAGAAAGCATTACATTTTGAATATATTTCAGGTAAGTAACGGAATGAGTTGTTACTTTTTAACATTCTGTTATTCTAGCAAAACCTCAAGGATGAAGATTCTTTTATTTATTTGGCTGCAATTAATGGTTTGGCTGCAATGGCTGATTTATTTCCCGATATTGTGTTGACCGTTCTTACTGATGAGTTTTCTGAGTGCTCAAGAAGTGATAAAGATGGACACGAAGTGCGCATTAAGATAGGAGAAGTACTTGTGCGGGTTGTAAAACGTTTGGGTGAGTATATTTGTTATTAAATGCTGGTCCGTGAAGCAGGATTACATATTGCGGCACAAATGTTTAATGTGCGTTTGTGCCGGGAAAAGTTAGCCCATAAAATATATATATTATTATTATATATAATTATTACAAAATCCCTATACTGACTTGAATTTTAATAAATTTCGGGGACACAGTGGCTTCGATCAACTTTCGACAATCCAAAAGAATTAGCTAAATAAAATTTTGATGACATAAAAAAAATGACCAGAAAACTATCTTGGTCGCACAATGGGTTCGATTAAACACAGCTAATGAATTGACAATAAGACAAATTTATTTGACAAACATAAAAAATTTAAATAACAACGCAGGAAGAAAAAGAGGCATTTAGAGCCCTGTTTTTACACATACCACGCACGCACACGTTAGACAAACAAATAAAAAACCTTAATTACTAAAACTAGGGCTCCATCAGCAGTTTGGGAATGACACTCCTTCGCTTCATTCCGAACTCGCACGTGTCATTCCTGGTGCGACGGATTAAATTCCCGGCCCGGCTCGCGCGATGCAGTTTCAATATTGAAATTTTCAAATTTTGATGGTATCATTTTAAGTTTGGCCCAAAAAGAGCACATGACGCTTATACTTTTTAATAGCAGATACAGAAAAATGTTTATTAGTTTTTTTTTAATTATTTTTGTATAATTTGCCGTTTTCAAAATAAATATACAGGTCTAGGTAAGAAATGTATCGGATCTAACCTCATTTTTTAAATGGCCCTATGGATTTTCATTTAAAAAGAGAATAAATAATAAATTCTCATCTCAAAAATATAACACACCCGAAATGATACTAAAAAGAAGTTGAAGTAATTCAAATAAATTCAAAAAAGATTTAAAAGGATTCAAAAAATATTCCAAAAAATTTAAAAAAAGGGGTCGAATGAATAAAAAAATAAAAGAATTTAAAAAAAATGAATGCATGAGTATTTTTTTAATATTGTTAACATATCTCCTTTTTTGCTTGGGAAACTTTGTCTTGAGTAGTGTATGTTCGTAGTTTCCTGCGTTTTCACGAATTAATAGCGCCATTTTTTATTAGAAAATAGTGATATTTACTTTTTTGAAATCAGAAAAAAATGTTCTATCAAATGACACAAAAAGCAAAAATGACTTCAATAAGAAAAAAAAAGTTGATGATGGTTAACCAGAGACGAAACGTAGAAGGAAAAAAGTTTCCATAATTATGCGTCATTTATTTTGAAATATCTTTTTAAATAACTTCGGTACAAAATAACGATTTTGCAAAATTTGGTTTTTGCAAGATATCTCCGAAAGTAGTCGGAATTTTTTCAGTTTCAAAACGGCATTTTGTTAAGCATCAAAATACGCAACTTTGCCAAATTTAAACTACCTACTTATCTCTTACAGTTTCCTACCCGATACCCCCTCCCCCCTCCCCTCGACAATCATTGTTAAAAAAAGGCCCCGCAAAAATGTTTCGTTCCAGGTCGCGCATTTGCTAAGGACGGCTCTGATAATGACGTTGCCTTTGATCTCAATGTAGATGGTGTCGTGGTCTCTGCCTTCCGCATTTTCGTTCAGCCTTGTATTTTCGTTCCACTTAGGTCGAAGTCGTATTCGTGGTAGACGACATTACAGGAAGAGACAGTAGTCCGAAATATATAAGTAGATTGAAGAGATTCCTTTACTGGATCTATACGGCTCCGGCATTTCTTATGTTAAAGTGCGTCTTTGTTGATAATGGATTAATTAATTCCGAAATAAAACTTTCATCAGCTTCGATGCGGCTTAAATCACGTAATGCACGCGTAAAATATTTATTTTGTGCGAGTATAACTTTTCTATTTTTAGTTTGCGCGATTGTAAAACTATTAATTTTTGGTCGCACAAGTTTACGATAGAAACCCCATGCCACTAACGTGAAACAATGCAACCCGAGTATGGCGTCACGTATTTCTCGATGCCAATTAAACAGTGCACTCTTATTAATGCAAAAAATACCCCTAGCTTCCTTCAAATAAATTGGAACTGCGCGGTCGCGATTAACTTTCTTAAAATACTTTTACCATTAATTCGCCGCTATGCTTCCACTAATTTTGCAGTAACTTAGGTTCTCCCACAATCAAATTTCTAGAGAAAGACCTGTACTCTATTGCGATCGCTACTATTAATTTAGACTGTTCCTACGCTAATTTCGCTTTAATTTATTATCGCAAATTTAACGCGGACAACCTGCACGGTAAACGATTGCTACTCGTCTGTCTCCTTTTCACTTCAACTTTACCTTTTATGTTACCGAGTAGAAAAATGGTTCGTCCCCACCCACAGAGCTTCGATGTCTTCCGCAGCGCATTTCAACCAATCACGAACGTTTATCTAATTCTTCATCTAATCGGCTGCCCACCAGAAAAATCGACATGGAACCAACGCAATTTTCGCAGCTATTTTTAAACGCGCTTCGTTGTCGCCATTAAATCTACTCGTGTTCACTCTTCGTATGAAACGGTACATATCTATTTTACACATTTATAAAATTCGAAAAAAATGAAACCGGGCTCCCGTTACACCACTCCGCCAGAATATACCTCTTTTCATTGATATGCACTACTAATCCACGTTTTATTTTCCCGCAAAGTATTGGTTTACGAAAACAAATTTCCCTTTTTCGTTGAGAAACACACAAAAAAATGGGATGTTACAGTGCCGTTGTCGGATTTTTTCGTATTAGCTCGATGGAGTCTGTGGTATACAAAAACGTATACGTTTTATTACCAAATATTGTTTATGGTGTCTCGTAGATGTTGATTTAGAGCTCATCCCTCCTCGAGAAACACCCGATGGAGTAAAATGCTCTGATTAAAACCTTAATTCCTGATAAAGTGATAACATAAAATATGCATATTTAGAAAACTTATGAAATCTAGCATTCCGTGTGCCATATCACACAGAAAAGACCTACATCAACTTGTTGAATGTTGTGCTTTGAAGATTTGCTGTTGTGCGTGTAATATAACAGATACCGCGCATCCTGACAGCACACGGCATGCCGGATACCGGAAGTTTCAATATGCGATCGGATAGATCGTTAATGTCACATATAAATTCATATTTGACAAATTTTCCGTAAAATCGGCAGTTTTTTGTAGAATAGACTGTATACAGTAGAGAATATACCAGATAATGAATTTCCAGGGGCGAAAATTTTGTTTAAATTATACCGTTCGCGAATTCTCAGTAAGCGAATTTTTAGGAACAAATATAACGGTAGGGAATATTCCAGAAAGGAGCGAGGGGGAAAATTTGTCTACGTTCTTAAAGACTTTTCAGCCTACAAAAATATTCTATAATATTTTGTAACTCGCTCAAGTTAGGGATTTTTTGGGTTCCTAGAAACTGATGACAAGACTTCAAAAGCTTAAGACCAACGCTTTATTATTACATCTTATGATTTAGAGGTCACTAACCGACTCATCAGTTAAGTCCATTAAGAATATTTTCAAGGCCACTTCAAAGACCTCCATCTTATTAGAATCGGTAAGGGTCTCCGACTGTTGGGATACAAAAATCTCCCATATTTTAAAACTTCTCTTCTCTTCTCTTTAAGAAGGCTCTTAGCCTCCATTTCTCAAACCCGAAAGAGGTCTACATCTACATCTTGCATATCAATTACGACATTTTTAAGAATCTAGGACTATATGAACCGTTCGGCCTTTTTAAACGTTAGTGTCAACCTCAAGGATTTTCGGGAAAAATCTAAAAAAATGAAAAAAAAATTTGCAGTCATCAATCTATCTATATAAAAATCTTTGATTATAGGTGAAAGGGCTCCTTTGTACAAGTCTCTTCTGCTCAACACTTTTCTTGTTGGTACTAAGGACGAAGATCATCTCGTTCGTGCGTCCAGCTTATCGAATTTAGGTGAAGTTTGCAGAGTTCTGGGTTACAAACTGGGCACAATCGTCACGGAGGTGAGTAAAACTGTTTTTTGGTTCAACAGTTATCGCTTAATTTTCGCAGGTGCTTGTATGCGTTCATGGTGTAATAAGTACAGATAAAATGATCGAACCACGACGCGCCGCTGTTACGGTCATACGTCAGTTGTTCGTCGGTTTGGAAAAGGAAACGGTCGTGTTCCTCAAAGACGAAATACTTCACGTGTACCGAACTCTAAAGGAGATTTACAGGAACGACGCCGACGATGTCATGCGATTGCAAGCTCAATTGGCCTTAGAACAATTAAACGAGAACGTTAAGGAATTTTTATTTCTTAATCCTACACTACACTACGAAAAGAAAATTGTAATACTAGATGCGAAATAAACACATTTTTTTAAATAATATTCATTGCATACTATACAGGGTGTTATCCAGGTGAGATGCAGTCAAAACACGTGACCAACATTCAGATGCAACACCGCGTATATTGGACAAATATGCAATTTACTTAAACTGTAAGTATCTAGGAATAAATAAGCTGTATCACCCAATTATATCACACCCTTTATACGATGACCATCTGCCGCGGTTCTTCCAATTTAGCTAAATCCGTTTCTTTTAAACGTGTTACAAAGGATGCTACACCAAGTGAACTTCCTTTACTTTAGAAATTGTACTGTTATTAGATTCCAATTCTATCTCAGCATGTGTGCTGCAACTGCTCGTAGATGAATCGGAAGAGGCTATTGAGACATTGTCCATTTCTCTCGAAATTCTTTTCGATCCGCATCTGACTGCTGCCGCGACAAGCCCAACGATCCCCAACGTCATTAGTACGGCCAGAAGAGCTATTGGTATTGATTTTGCGGTTGATCGGATCTCCTGCTTTATATCTTCTTTTTTATCTGTAAACAATTCAAATTAGTTTATAACAGTGAAACTGATTGAAGTTTGTGCAATTAATTACATTTGTAAGTGTGGTGAATGAATTTATAACCGAGGTCGAGCAACCTGCTTGGTCGATTAGGCAGAAAATTATTATAATTTAGATGTCCTGCGGTAAAGGTTTTTTATCCTCAAATAGCGGTTCTAATGATAAAATTTTTCCCAATTAATTACGGGCTAGTATTTTAATTAGAGATGTAAAGTTTTTGGCAACGTGCAAATGCGCCGAAACCACATGTAGTTAAATTTAATTGCATACCTCTGCTAGCCACTTAAAAAAAACAAGACCCGCTTAAAATTTAAATAGAATACCATTTTTACATAATCACATGTAATATAAAACGTACACGCTTTTATCGTAACAGAATTTTTTTGTTACCATAAATTAAATAATAATCGGTTGTGTATCATATAAATTAACCTCCCTGGATGCATATTTGTTCAAAATAACTGTACATGCGAATATGGCCAATCTTTTTCTCATAACGGTACTAATTGTTCGTGTTTTAAGTTTAATTAGTAAGTTTTTGTATAGGAATATGAAGGTTCTTTGCAAATTTTTAACGTTCAGAGTATACAAGCGCGGAAATTATTATATTTGAAAATAAAGTGAAATATTTATTAGAGCACGACTTTCACATGACTGATTTAGAGAAAGTGTTTCCTTCCGATTTAACAACAAATCAATTTTCATATTTTTATAGTTCTATAACAGATGTAAAATTGTAAACTATACCTATAGAGTTGACCTGGTTTGTGTAAGGTGTTCACTTCCAATTCATTGTGACACTTCAGTAATTCAGTTGCCGAAGACTGAACGTTTATTGGTTGCCATATATTATTTCACGTAGGATGGAATGAAAAAGATAGATTTTCTTTGAAACCCGATGATTAATTGAAAGGTCTTTATTTAATTAGCATCAGCAAGAGATTAAGGTTGCAATGATCCGCTTTCTGTGTCATTTTGATGAGTTTTTCGTACAATTTGATTAATTATTCGAATAATAATGTTAAATTAAAACGAGGTGTGCCACTTTTTATAAAATTAAGAGAGAAAATGCTTTCTATTGATCTCACTTTTAGTGGGTTCAATAAAGCAGCTATTAATGTATAATTAAAACAGATAGGTCGCTTTGAGTTGTTTTGAAGTTTTGCATCTTTAACATTGGGTATTACACATCGTCGAGACATTTAAAAAAACAGAAAAAGTTAAAATGTTCCTTTTAAGACCTACGTCTTTTGTGTATACGGTTATACGAGGTGATAATAGATTATGAATAAATCAGTAACCGGTAAAAAGTTTAAAAACGATTAATTTACACTTTTGCTATCCGTTAAAACCCTATGTTTTGTTTTTTTGACATTTCCCTACTGCGGAACATTGGTAAACTATTCCAGTGATAAGTTCAACTACTAAATTTTGAGAAACCTGAAGCCCAGTTTGATCCTGATTCAAATCATCAATCATCTTTCAAAACCAGGCAATAGAATAAGTTTGATTGTATTGCACAAGGCGTCTCACCATCCAATTTTTAGCGCATTTCCACAAAAATAAAAAAAAACGCGCTATTGTGGCCACTTTGTCCGTCCGTCCGTCCGTCCGTCCGCTCGTTTTGCGACGCTACTAGTTCTTTATCTTAAGAGCTATTGTTCTACTTTTTCGCTATTTGGTTCGTTATGGTGTCGAGTCTTGTACCAAGGAAGGAATTTTTTCTGTACCGCTTACAAAAAAAGTTATTGTAAAAAAAACAAAAAACCGTTTTTTTTACATGTTCCATAATTTTACACTTTTGCCGTTTATTAACGATCCTAGAGATCGTTTATAATTTTGCATTGCTATCTGTCGTCTGCCTGTTGGTCTGTCCGTCTGTTCCTTTGTCTGTCTGTTCATCTATCTGTCCGTGTGAACGATAACTTTGTTTAGAAATGTTCGATCACTTTTACATCTCCGTTAGTTATGAACTGAATTGCATGAAATTCAATATGGGCATAGCTTTGGCCATATAATACGCAATGCCAAAAGTTGAATCGAATCGATTCAAAATTCACAGTGCCCTTTTCGCATCTCGACCATTTATAAACCGAATTGCAAACTTTTTACTTATAAAAGTATTTGAATGAAATTTGATACATATGCACTTGGAATAAAGGAAAATCAAACGCCAATTTCAAAATTTGGTTTTGCGCATGCGCAGTGGCAACTTTTTTATCTATGGAAGCATTTAAGTGAAATTTGATACTTAGGCGCTTGGAACAAAGGAAAATCTAACATTCGTTTCAAAATTTAGGCTTGCGCATGCGCAGTTCCAACTTTCTTATTTAGAAAAGCATTGAAATGAAATTCTTCTCATAAACTGAAATTGAAGTAGCACGTCAAAAACGGATTGCCCATGTGCAACGCTATCTTTCATATTTGTGGCCGGATTTTTACGATTTTAACAGAAGTTGCATCTTACAAATGGGAAATGAATGCATAAGTGAAAATGCGCTTTATGTAAAACGTTTACGATTACTTTTTAACTTGTTTAAACTGCGGCTACCTTTCAAAATGAGAAAAAAGGAAACTGTCAATTGGAGAAAACCTCGACCCCTCGAAACGAATTTCTTTGATTGTATAAAGTTAGGAATCGACCGTTTTTGGGGATTCTGTATAACATTTTTTTTATCAAGTCAATTTAACGTTCCTGAAGAGATCAACTCACGGGAGTTTATTCTGTGAGTAGGTTTGTGTATTTTTTATGAATGATAAGCGAACCCAGATTTTGCTGATTTTTTCTCATTAATTGTAAAGTGGAATTTCAAGTTCTTTTGTGTGGATTAAGATTTTATTTAGCATCCAGAGGCGTGTAAATTTATTTTTGAATAGAAAAATGTACCAGGTGTTGGATTACAATTTGTAATAGTAAAAGAATCTAAATAGTTATTAGATTTGAACGTGATCACGAGATAGGGTATGAGCTTATAGTGTTCATTCAATAACACCAATATTTTAAATCACGAACAATGCAAAGAAAAGTGGAGTTGGAACAAGATTATTGTCAGCAATATATTCAAACAAGTCAATTTACATGAGTATTTATATTTGCGAGTAATCAAACCAGAGCATAATTATTAGGTTTTGATTTTCAGATTTTAATGGGAAATAAACCGCAAGGTATGAGTAATTGAATGTTTAGTCATTACTGAGCTAGCCGTGGTATTAATTATTTCATTACACAAAATTAATTGGATATTACGTCATAAGGTTCTAATAGTGCGTACTACAGGTGAGTAGAAAAAATGGCAATTCTACGAACCTGTAATGCGCAAATTACAACCAAATTACGTACCATACTTTTTCTACGACCTCCGTGATTTTGAAATGAAAATAAGGCAAAACTCAAAACGACGTCTGTTGACAGTTTTAACATTTGTAGGTATTACTTCCAAACTCACATGATCTGTTTTAATTTTTTTCATTACGCACAGGTGTAGGTAATGGGTACTATATCATGCCTCTAAATTATACGTTAGGATCTCATTTTCAGAGAGGTCGTAGAAACAATTTTTTACCATTGCCATATAGATTAACATGCATTTTCTACAAGTGGGGTTTAAAACCATGGTAAATATAACCAAGCCGTTACAGTGTACCGGGTGACCCAATAAAACTGTTCCTCGGTCATATCTCAGGAACCGTTCGTCGTATGACTTAGGGGTAAAAAAAATTATTGGGTAAATCGGTTATGAAGAATCGCTGGAAAATATTTTCAAGTTCTAAAAATGACCACCAGAGGGCGTAACTGCCATCTTAAATTTTAAAATTGCATTTTCTTTAAATTGCGCATAATAAACTAAACATTCTTTTTCACATTTTTATTGAGAACCGGTTTATCTATCATTTTCGTAAAAACAAAAACTCAGTTATTTCAAAAACAAAGATGGCGTGGGGCGTTCAATTGTTTTTGCAATAACCTGCTTAGACTTCTTAACCGTTTGACCGATTGTAACAAATTCGGTATGGTTGAAAAGAGCATTTTTTGGACAATGAGAATTAACCAAAATATAGTTAATTTAGTTGCATCCTTCTCCCAGGGGGCTAGTTTTGACACCATGACCCAAATTTAAAGAAAATGCAATTTTAAAATTTAAGATGGCAGTTACGCCCTCTGTTGGCCATTTTTAGAACTTGAAAATATGTTCCAGCGATTCTTCATGACCGATTTACCCAATAATTTTTTTTTACCCCTAAGTCATATGACGAACGGTTCTCGAGATATGGCCGAGGAACAGTCTTATTGGGTCACCCGGTACATCACTGTAGCGCTCGGCACGACGCTGGCGCACATGGTTGGTATTGGAGGTTTCGCTGTACCTCGCTTCTTGTTGCGCACAAACCCGATCGACATTTACTCACATATACAAGATGTCACAGATCGAATAGCATTGCATGAGTAACTTTACAACAAGATACAATTTTCAATGCTAACTGTCAAAATTAATAAAAATAAGAAATTACCCAAATATATTTAGGGCCATTTTAAAAATTTTACTTACATTTAGCTTAGTATTGAAAATTGATTATTTCTTTCTAGATAGCGGGTACAGATACAATTAAATGACCCAAAGTTTCTAAACAAATCAGAAAATTAAAAAAAATACCAATGGCGCACCTAAAAAAAGTTGATAAGTAAAAAATGGAATATGGCCCCTGAAAAGACACCATGGTCTCTCATATTCTTAAATTGAGCCCCTTGTTGGATATAGAAACGTAAAAAATGGAGAACCGACTTCTATACTAAGGGTGTCTGGTTAGAATACGGGCTCGGGCATGGACATTGGGAAATGTATAGTGGGTTAGGTTGGTAGAACAGCCTTGCGTGAAACCCGACCCACTCAAAAATAGACACAAAATAAAAAATAAAAGTTGATATCCTTGGGTGAGTAACCGCTATCTTGAATTTTATTTTCGCTGGATAAACTAGGGGAGACGATGCGGCATCCTAAAGCCTCACCGGCACCTGACAGCATTTTTAACACCATATTTTGGCAATGCACGACTGGATGTAGGGTGTGACCGGCTAGCGGAAAGCAAGAATTGCTTGCTCCAATGTTTGCGGTGTGTGCTGCGGTGCGATCTCGACCTCGTTACTCGCACCGTTTGCTCCCCGTTGCCATTTTACCTTGAACGCGCACTCATATCTGCTCTCGAAATTGATCTGATCGGAATTGAGGGATGATCAAGGGCGGCGCTATGGAGTGCCGGGGGTGCAGTGGAGTGAAAAATTAACAATGCCGGGAAAATTGCTCGGAAATCGTTGCTCGGGGGTTTTCGCGGTTGCCGAGTCCAGATTTGCCCTCGAAATTCCCCGAGAATGCCAGGAGTGGTGATCGGGGGAAGTGGGGTTGACTTTTCAGTAAAAAATGTCAATTACTCCGAGTAACGAATTCCTATAGCAATTTCTGCGAACGCTTAATTTTTCACTCAACTGCACCCTCGTGGCTCCACCCCAGAGCATTACCGGGCAAAATGGAAGATATGGACTCGGCGGCCGCGAAAATCCCGAGTAACACATAGTAGGTATATTTTTTATCGACTCGGAAAACACTCGTTGAATGAAGGTATTGGCATTGTTTAAATACTAAACAATGGTATTGGCTCCACTTTTTGAAATATATAATTACAATTTTCGGATAATGTGCGATTAATACATATATGAATAATATTGACCCATGAATGCACCCTTGGGGACCTCCTTATACCTGCACTACTCTCGCACGTCTTAATCCATTACCATATAGACGTTTTTTACTACTCTATAATATTGCTCAGACTTCAACAAGCTGTGACCGATTGGTTAATATTTAGATACTATTATTTTCTTAAATGAAAATTGAATTAGGTTTCAGCATAAAGAAAGGAAATTGTAACCGATGCTTGTTGAATATCCAATCCAAATGAAAAAGTGATAAAGGCGACAGACAAGTATTGAATGAGTAAAGACATTCAATCACGTTTGTCGGTTCAGGTGAAAGTTTATTGTACTTTTACGTTGTGTATTGTTTCTGTTTGCGGTGACGGAAGACAGCGTCATCAATTACGCACAGCATTCGTTGCATACCTACGTATTAAGGTCAGAATATGCAATTACTTGAACTTATTTACACTGTGTTCTCTAATCTCTAAACTGGACCGAGTCCTTTCTGCCGCACTAGATCTACTACAGTTCAGGGGAATTAAAAAATTGAAAAATTATCTTATCAAATTTCCTAATTATTTCACTGAAGTTGGACTGCTGTTTTCAATGAAGACTTTTAGAGACATGATTAATGTTTACGAATCTATAATTGCCTTATTAAAATGAGATAATATGATTGCATGCTTTTGTTCTTTATTTCAACGCCCAACCAACTTCATTGACAAATTCTGAATGAGCATTATTAATACGCATTGAATCTCGTGAATTGGCATACTTTTTGGGGCTATTTACACATTTGTTTCATTTCAATAGATACGCTCAAATTTTGACGTGGAGTTGGTCTTGACATCTAATAACGCCAAAACAGATGCATAAAAATGACCGCGATTCTCTTATCGCTATGTTGCTTTGTCTCTCTTACCTGATTCTGGATCTTGCAGCAAACGTGCAGGTCTCAAATGCCTCGACCTTCTTGCGTAACTGTCTCCCTCCTCAAAACCAATTGGGTCAGATTGCCCTCGGCCCACAGCGTTTGAGGGAAGACTAATTCCAGCACGTACAGTTAAAGTTTCTGGTTGAAATGAGCACAACACTAAAAATCTTCTTGTGCTGTGCGTTAAAATTGGTAAATTTTCCTGTACAAGAACGAACGTGCCAACTGTCGTTTCATTAACTTGACTGCCACACTTCTCGTGATCTATTTTTAATGTGTAGGTGTCTCTTGGGCTGGACGGTTCGCCATCTAAAGCACATCTCTCCCCATCTGCCGCCTCGACGGCGATACGCCCGCCGAAGTAAGGTCCCGTTGAGACCTCAATGATACTTGCGTGAGGTAGACATTGTGTAGCTCGTGCAGAAACTATGAAAAAAGGCATCGTGAGTAATTACACCTTAGTTAGACAAATTATAAGTTGTTTGACGGAAATTAAGCTGCACGAACGGTAGCCTTCGTTAAAGAAGTATTTTAGCAAAAATTATTTTACCATTAGCTACTTACATCCTTTTGTCGGTACAACGAGAATATTTTGGTTTGTATCGCCATGGGCCCGATCTTCTCGCGAACTATTTTCCTTTTGCGTCCTAACTTCAAACGAGTAAGTTGTCGCCATTCGTAAACCGAGGATGTCAACGTCATACGACGTGAAGCCATTCTCGTTTGTGATACTGTTGTCTTCTGGCTGCGACACCTTTTGGTTTCGGCACCGTTGGAAGCCCCAAGTTTGCAATTCGCAGAAACGAACGTGAAATCCATTTTGAGGGACGTTCTGACTGTCGGATTCCCAATGCAGCCTGATTTTGCGGTAGTCAGATTCGCCCATTAAATTTTTAACTGGGAAAAAAAGGCACATGATTAATTTACTACTTAGATCATCACAGGCTGAGTGCAAATCAGTTCCGCGTTCCTTGTGTATCTCAAAATTGTTATAATACCGTTCTTCCAATTTTACGTTCCCAATTGAAGAGGAATGTACCTACGTTTTAAACGCATTTATTGCCCGGTAAAGGTGTAAATTTAATTACGTAAGAACAACGCTATGTACATTAAAGTAATGAGGAAACGGTTCAATGAAACACGTTTCGTTCGCGCTGTAGGAAGCAGAACGAAACTTTGATGAGTTTTTGATTGACGATAAACGCTAACGGAACGTTTTATTCTGTCTACTTTAAAAGATGATGACGTTCTTTTTCACCTACATAGTTCTAATGGTTCGGATGATCACTATATCCAAAAAAGCTCATTGAATTTGACTCGGTAATTATTCTATACATTGAATCTGGATACCTAAACATTTCTGCGGTTAAAACAGTGTAATTGGCACGACAGAGAAACTGCTGTCACAATTTGATAATTAGTCCCGTCATTCTATACCAAAAAACGACAAATAGAAGAAATAATTCGTGGTTTCAATTTTTCTGGGGATGTGTGGATGAAGGTCCCCTAATGATTGTGTAATAACGTCCCGAGCGATTTTGGTGACGCCGAAGAGCGGGGAGGGGGTTAAAGGTACAGTTTTACAATTTTTCGGCTATATCCCGGGAGAGTCGTAGGAAAAAAATTTCTCATCAAAATGGAAAGTTCAGAAAGTTTTCTACAACTATGTTTTTATACATTTAAAAAAAAGTATTGTTTTCCAGCTACGGGCTCTTGAAGTTCTTCAAAAAACTCTCGTTTTCGGTAGAATCTTTCCTCTAGCTTTCCTCAACGTACAAGTTGATGGTTGTAGTGAATTAAATTTCCTTCAAGAATTATTGACATCTGTGGTGTTTATGCTTCGACAGTTCGATTTCACTTACAACAAAAATGAAGTGAAATTTCGTGAGTGAAGATAATGTCCAATTTAGATGTACGTACAATTCCTCTCCATGAGAATCGTCTACGTCCTCTTCATCTTCTGCTTCTGCTTGGTGGAGAGATAAAATCAGCTCCTTTGACTCTTGGCACAGGGAATGGTGTGAAATATGCCAGTTTTCTTGCACCCAGAGCTACCCCTGCAGTTGGTAGTAGAACAACGACAAAAAATGGCGGGTAAAATTTCCAAATTCAGCAGAGACTGGAGAAATGACTCCCTCAAGAACAATGAGGTTTGGACAAGAGGTGACGATTGACACCTTCACCCAATATGGAACACCAGCCCCAGAGGAAATTTTACAATCCATTTTTTGCAGTTGTTCTACTAACTGCAGGGCTAGCTGTGGGTGGGGTGGGTGGCCTGGCATATTTTGCACCATTGCCTGTACCAGCTGCCAAGGAAGCTGTTTTAACTCTCCGCCAATCTCAGCAGAAGAGGAATTGTACGTATACCTGAATTGGACATTATCTTCGTAGGTAGCGGCTTTTCTTCTGCTTCTGCAACAAACCACTTTATTCCAAATTCATCTTATTTCCAAAGACGGTGACTGATGAACAAAGTTCAAGTGACATTTCCATGGCAACCATTGAATTTTGAATAAGCACCCGCTTAATCAGAAATGTATTCGATATGATTTTATTTTATTTCCCTTATTTTTAAATTATATTGCTGGTGTAATAAAAAACGCGTGTACTTGCAACGTTTAAAGACACTATTAAACTCTTTTTATTCTCTCCCAAACTATTTAAAACGCGTTAAATGTAGTAAATTTCAAAGATTCAATTATGTTCCAGGAATTGAGTTATACCTCAAGAACTGACAACATTTTCATTCGTCCTGATCTATCTATAGACCGGGAGGCAACGTACATAGTAACTAAACTATAAGCGACAAAATATCCGATAATACAGGCTAAAAATACGTTGAAAACTAATAATAAAATCACTCGTCTGCCAGTCGTAAGTGGCAGCATTAACTTGGGGCGGCGCTGAATAGGTGACTTCTTTAGGTGATCAACTAAATTACCAAACTATATGGGTCACGGAAAAGATTTGTATCAAGAAATTTTTTCCATAGTTTTCAAATATGCTATGGCAGACGATTTCAAGTGCAGCGTTGGTAGCGAAAGACGCCCTTCAATGTAGGGAAAAACACCCCTGAAGTAAATTGACGGATGACGTTAGTTACCTTTTGGATGATACGTGGAACGTTAAGACCATTTCTTCAATAACGGTATAGATATTAACTTTGCAATATTCACAAATGAAGCAATTATCATTGAATTGTTTATACTTCAAACATGCGAGCAAAACTTCCTGGGACTCTTTTAGGCACATTACAAGGCATAATTGAATACGTGATGAACCAAATATGTTTTTCTAGTGTTCTCCCGTTTATGTCATAAAAGCTCTTTAAAAATAATAAAAAGCAATTACATTCACTAACAGAAAATGGTGGCATCTGTACAATCTCCTACGATTTTTAGTTCAATCCAGATAATCCGTTATAAATCTTTTGGTGTCCAAATGCCACTATTCCGTTTTTTCGTCTGCAGTATAATAGGTGTATGCTGTATTCCCATGATTCGACAAAATCTGTAAAATTGCTACTCACCTAAATTAATATCACAATCGTTTCTAACAGTAAAAGTATTTTGGAACTAACAAAATTGTAGCTTTATAACAGGCAACGTTTTTGCCCACGCTACATTCTAACTTTTATATTGGCAAAATACGTAGGTAAATAGGGAATCTCTAATGCGAAACGACTATAGATCAAATTAGATGTTGCACTTCTCTCATCCTACTAATTGAGAACGAAAAGATCTAATAAATCAAAAGAGCAACAAAGGAGAAATTAGCAACTTCTTCATTTCCCGGTAATAAATTTCACTTTCAGTAAAGTTAATAATTTCGAGGCCAAGGATTCCAAATCAGTTTAGTCGTCCTTCGAAGTCATGCAGACTGTGTGAAATAAAGCAATTAGCTACCTGCTTCATTGTATGCTTGTAATTTAATGCTAAAGCAGAAAATTTATTAGTTACAACTAATGCCAAGAGTAGAAATGCGAGTTAATTACAATTATTGACACTGGGTATAAAGAAACTCAGTGTAAAAGGATTCTTTTCACATAGTTTACGAGAAAATGTCCCCAGATAATATCGCACTAGATCGAGGCCATTATTTTCCCTGTCGTTAAACCCGGTAGAAGCTCTCTCAAGCATTTTTATAGATGCATGTACACACATTTTGTGAGCACTGGATATGCGATATCTAAAATGTGAATGGAAAGGCGCGTTCAAGTAGGCAATACATTATTGAATGGCCGATTTAACAGTGCAGAAAATTCAATTACCACCAATAACCATAAAATTTGAAAGTAATTATTATTCGTAAAGTCAACAAATTCGTTTTAGTTTGTGTTTATTAGGTTCGGTTTTTATAAATATGTCCGTCTAGTGTAACTTCTCCTTCGCAACGGAAGGGGACAAATTTGGCACACCACGAACCCGGAACTCATTACATCTACCTACGTCCATTCAATTTATTTCCTTTGGTGGTCAAATAAAAGATGACTGGAAACCTCTCAAAAAGATATAAAGTGGGCAGCATAGGTAGGTACTATGACATGAGATATATCATTCGAAAGAGAATTGTGTACAGTTTCAGAATATGTAATAAAATTTCGTGCCCTCATTTAATAATTTTGAATTATTTGCTGCCTGTAATGCAATTTATTTTCAATTGATTGGTTATAACACAGAATACAAAATTAAATGTAGAACATTACTTCGTCATTTTGTCATATCTCTAACAGTACCTAACCGAGATATCCAATTGAGGTAAACCACTGAGCAAAAATGTGTACATCAGAATTCCAGTGTAAAAGAAGTCCGAAATTCCAAACAAAATTTCATCGGATTTTCAAGAGATATCCAAAACCGCAAATTGATTCTCTTGAATTTCAAAAGATTCAATTCAAATGAAATCCAAAAATGTTTATTGCATTCCAAAAAATTGAATTGACTTCCAAATAATTCCATTGAATTTCAGTGACTTCCAAACAGAATTCCAATGAATTCCAGTGAGAATTTTAAGTTGATAATAATGTTGTCAGTATAGAACTGACACCGGTGTGGCATCAAGTGACGATTATGTACCGTACTAGTTAATATCAAAGAGACGCATCGACAATTTTAATACGATGTTTCCATCAAATGCGCTTTAAAAAGATAGCCATTACGCATAGCAGCTCGTGAGAATGAGATTAATACATTAAATTATTGTAATTTAATTATGTCATGTATTTATGAACTATTAATTATTAATGAATTTATAACAGTCTTTAAATAAATTGATTTATAATAGTTTATTAATACTACTACTACTATTTATCACTTCAGCATAGATGTTGGAACTAAAATTAAGCACGTATCAATTTGCTTATATAGCAAAACATAATCCTTTTCGAAAAGTTTGTAATAGTTTTATTTTTACAAGTACGTAAAACTGGTTATTGGTTGACGCGCACTGTAATTTTTGTTTGAGATTCTCTGTAACATCTAAAAATGTATCAGCGATTTGGGTGAATCACGGGCAAACAATGACGTTTAGATTAATACATAATTATCGTTGAAATAATCCTGAAAGAGGAGTTATCCAATTAATTACTAACTTATTTAATTGCAGTGTAATCGGGTTTTTTTATTCGACGCTAATTCGTTATCTAGACCCCAACCGCTGGGATGACAGATGAGCCTGACTAAATGTTGACCTTGCAGTCACGTAGCACGGAAATGTCCGTTGTCTGGCATATCCGGTGCTTGATAAGAAACTGGTATTGACAACGCGCAATTAACTTTGGATGTAAAGTTTACTGGAGAATCCCCATAACTTGAAATTAAAGCTGGAACCATAAAGAACATGTAAAACCTCATTGATCAGATATATGTTTCCTACCTCTAATTAATAAGAGAGTT